TAAGACACAACCAGTAAGACACAACCTGTAAGACACAACCAGTAAGACACAACCAGTAAGACACAACCTGTAAGACACAACCAGTAAGACACAACCAGTAAGACACAACCAGTAAGACACAACCTGTAAGACACAACCTGTAAGACACAACCAATAAGACACAACCAGTAAGACACAACCAGTAAGACACAACCAGTAAGACACAACCAGTAAGACACAACCTGTAAGAAATAAAGTGTAACACACAACCTGTAGGACACAACCTGTAAGACACAACCAGTAGGACACAACCAGTAAGACACAACCTGTAAGACACAACCTGTAAGACACAACCAGTAAGACACAACCTGTAAGACACAACCTGTAAGACACAACCAGTAAGACACAACCTGTAAGACACAACCTGTAAGACACAACCAGTAAGACACAACCTGTAAGACACAACCTGTAAGACACAACCAGTAAGACACAACCTGTAAGACACAACCAGTAAGACACAACCAGTAAGACACAACCTGTAAGACACAACCTGTAAGACACAACCTGTAAGACACAACCAGTAAGACACAACCTGTAAGACACAACCAGTAAGACACAACCAGTAAGACACAACCTGTAAGACACAACCAGTAAGACACAACCAGTAAGACACAACCTGTAAGACACAACCAGTAAGACACAACCTGTAAGACACAACCTGTAAGACACAACCAGTAAGACACAACCAGTAAGACACAACCAGTAAGACACAACCAGTAAGACACAACCAGTAAGACACAACCTGTAAGACACAACCTGTAAGACACAACCTGTAAGACACAACCAGTAAGACACAACCAGTAAGACACAACCTGTAAGACATAACCTGTACGACACAACCTGTAAGACACAACCTGTAAGACACAACCAGTAAGACACAACCAGTAAGACACAACCAGTAAGACACAACCAGTAAGACACAACCTGTAAGACACAACCAGTAAGACACAACCAGTAAGACACAACCAGTAAGACACAACCTGTAAGACACAACCTGTAAGACACAACCTGTAAGACACAACCAGTAAGACACAACCAGTAAGACACAACCTGTAAGACATAACCTGTACGGCACAACCTGTAAGACACAACCTGTAAGACACAACCAGTAAGACACAACCAGTAAGACACAACCAGTAAGACACAACCAGTAAGACACAACCTGTAAGACACAACCTGTAAGACACAACCAGTAAGACACAACCAGTAAGATACAACCAGTAAGACACAACCAGTAAGACACAACCAGTAAGACACAACCTGTAAGACACAACCTGTAAGACACAACCAGTAAGACACAACCTGTAAGACACAACCTGTAAGACACAACCTGTAAGACACAACCTGTAAGACACAACCTGTAAGACACAACCAATAAGACACAACCAGTAAGGCACAACCAGTAAGACACAACCAATAAGACACAACCAGTAAGACACAACCTGTAAGACACAACCAATAAGACACAACCAGTAAGACACAACCAGTAAGACACAACCAATAAGACACAACCAGTAAGACACAACCTGTAAGACACAACCAGTAAGACACAACCAGTAAGGCACAACCAGTAAGACACAACCTGTAAGACACAACCAGTAAGACACAACCAGTAAGACACAACCTGTAAGACACAACCTGTAAGACACAACCAGTAAGACACAACCAGTAAGACACAACCAGTAAGACACAACCTGTAAGTCACAACCAGTAAGACACAACCAGTAAGACACAACCTGTAAGACACAACCTGTTAGACACAACCTGTAAGACACAACCAGTAAGACACAACCTGTAAGACACAACCTGTAGGACACAACCTGTAAGACACAACCAGTAAGATACAACCAGTAAGACACAACCAGTAAGACACAACCTGTAAGACACAACCTGTAAGACACAACCAGTAAGACACAACCAGTAAGACACAACCTGTAAGACACAACCTGTTAGACACAACCTGTAAGACACAACCAGTAAGACACAACCTGTAAGACACAACCAGTAAGACACAACCTGTAAGACACAACCTGTTAGACACAACCTGTAAGACACAACCAGTAAGACACAACCTGTAAGACACAACCAGTAAGACACAACCTGTAAGACACAACCAGTAAGACACAACCTGTAAGACACAACCAGTAAGACACAACCTGTAAGACACAACCAGTAAGACACAACCTGTAAGACACAAACAGTAAGACACAACCAGTAAGACACAACCTGTAAGACACAACCAGTAAGACACAACCAGTAAGACACAACCAGTAAGACACAACCTGTAAGACACAACCAGTAAGACACAACCAGTAAGACACAACCTGTAAGACACAACCTGTAAGACACAACCTGTAAGACACAACCAGTAAGACACAACCAGTAAGACACAACCTGTAAGACACAACCAGTAAGACACAACCAGTAAGACACAACCTGTAAGACACAACCTGTAAGACACAACCTGTAAGACACAACCAGTAAGACACAACCAGTAAGACACAACAAGGTTGAAATAGAAAATTTGCGAGCAATTTTTAAATTAATCACAGTTCAGTCGAGGGAGCTGTAGCAAAGAAGGCCCCGGCAACCATCGACCACACCTCTCACCCTCACACCCTCACACCTCTCACCCTCACACCTCTCACCCTCACACCTCTCACCCTCACACCTCTCACCCTCACACCTCTCACCCACACACCTCTCACCCTCACACCTCTCATCCTCACACCTCTCACCCTCACACCTCTCACCCACACACCTCTCACCCTCACACCTCTCACCCTCACACCTCTGACCCGCACACCTCTCACCCACACACCTCTCACCCTCACACCTCTCACCCTCACACCTCTCACCCTCTCACCTCTCACCCACACACCTCTCACCCTCACACCTCTCATCCTCACACCTCTCACCCTTACACCTCTCACCCACACACGTCTCACCCTCACACCCTCACACCTCTCACCCTCACACCTCTCACCCTCACACCTCTCACCCTCACACCTCTCACCCTCACACCTCTCACCCTCTCACCTCTCACCCACACACCTCTCACCCTCACACCTCTCACCCTCACACCTCTCACCCTCACACCTCTCACCCTCACACCTCTCACCCACACACCTCTCACCCACACACCTCTCACCCTCACACCTCTCACCCACACACCTCTCACCCTCACACCTCTCACCCACACACCTCTCACCCTCACACCTCTCACCCTCACACCTCTGACCCGCACACCTCTCACCCACACACCTCTCACCCTCACACCTCTCATCCTCACACCTCTCACCCTCACACCTCTCACCCACACACCTCTCACCCTCACACCTCTCACCCTCACACCTCTCACCCTCTCACCTCTCACCCACACACCTCTCACCCTCACACCTCTCATCCTCACACCTCTCACCCTTACACCTCTCACCCACACACGTCTCACCCTCACACCCTCACACCTCTCACCCTCTCACCTCTCACCCTCACACCTCTCACCCTCACACCTCTCACCCTCACACCTCTCACCCTCTCACCTCTCACCCACACACCTCTCACCCTCACACCTCTCACCCTCACACCTCTCACCCACACACCTCTCACCCTCACACCTCTCACCCTCACACCTCTCACCCTCACACCTCTCACCCTCACACCTCTCACCCTCTCACCTCTCACCCACACACCTCTCACCCTCACACCTCTCACCCTCACTCCTCTTACCCTCACACCTCTCACCCTCACACCTCTCACCCTCACACCTCTCACCCTCACACCTCTCACCCTCACACCTCTCATCCCTCTCACCCTCACACCTCTCACCCTCACACCTCTCACCCTCACTCCTCTCACCCTCACACCTCTCACCCTCACACCTCTCACCCTCACACCTCTCACCCTCACTCCTCTCACCCTCACACCTCTCACCCTCACACCTCTCACCCTCACTCCTCTCACCCTCACACCTCTCACCCTCACACCTCTCACCATCACACCTCTCACCCTCACACCTCTCATCATCACTCCTCTCACCCTCACTCCTCTCACCCTCACACCTCTCACCCTCACACCTCTCACCCTCACACCTCTCACCCTCACACCCTCACTCCTCTCACCCTCACACCTCTCACCCTCACATCTCTCACCCTCACTCCTCTCACCCTCACACCTCTCACCCTCACACCTCTCACCATCACACCTCTCACCCTCACACCTCTCATCATCACTCCTCTCACCCTCACACCTCTCACCCTCACACCTCTCACCCTCACACCTCTCACCCTCAGTCCTCTCACCCTCACACCTCTCACCCTCACACCTCTCACCCTCACACCTCTCACCCTCACACCTCTCACCCTCACATCTCTCACCCTCACATCTCTCACCCTCACACCTCTCACCCTCACACCTCTCACCCTCACTCCTCTCACCCTCACACGTCACCACCAGCACTCTCATCCTCACTCGTCACCACCAGCAATCTCACACGTCACCACCAGCACTCTCATCCTCACTCGTCACCACCAGCAATCTCACACGTCACCCCCAACACTCAGGCTCACACGTCTCCCCCAACACTCAGCCTCACACGTCACCCCCAACATTCAGCCTCACACGTCACCCCCAACAGGAACTCTAACCCCCACCTGTCGGGCCATCTCACTTGGCGTTGAAATAATAACGTGACCTCGGGATATGGAGAGTGACCTGGTCCTGAGTGAGGTTGATCCCGGCCAGATTCACGAAGCTGTCTCCGGTTGTAGGAACCGCAATGGGACCCCCCAACCATAGAAGTTTTTTATGGTCCATAAAATGGTCTCGGTTCGTCGAGGCGCCTATCGATGTTGGCCGATGCTCTAGTGGACCGCTGGCCATTGCACTTCTCACTGCTTATCTTAGCACGAAGATAAACATGTCAAGTATTCATTTAAAACCTTCATAATTGGTTGATACAGGCAGCTGCAAGACGCTGTGTATAGCGTCAGGGAGGTGCCAAGCCTGGTCCCTGGTGGAGACAGCTGGTGGGGGAGAGTGTCGGATTGCTGCCGGAGGCCCCACCACTCACAACACCACCGTCAACACCACTGGCACCTACTTCTTCAGGCAAGGTGAGGGACACTTCTTCAGGCAAGGTGAGGGAGACTTCTTCAGGCAAGGTGAGGGAGACTTCTTCAGGCAAGGTGAGGGGGACTTCTTCATGCCAGGTGAGGGAGACTTCTTCAGGCAAGGTGAGGGAGACTTCTTCAGGCAAGGTGAGGGAGACTTCTTCAGGCAAGGTGAGGGAGACTTCTTCAGGCAAGGTGAGGGAGACTTCTTCAGGCAAGGTGAGGGAAACTTCTTTAGGCAAGGTGAGGGAGACTTCTTCATGCAAGGTGAGGGAGACTTCTTCAGGCAAGGTGAGGGAGACTTCTTCAGGCAAGGTGAGGGAGACTTCTTTAGGCAAGGTGAGGGAGACTTCTTCATGCAAGGTGAGGGGGAGGGAGAGAGAGAGAGAGAGAGAGAGAGAGAGAGAGAGAGAGAGAGAGAGAGAGAGAGAGAGAGAGAGAGAGAGAGAGAGAGAGAGAGAGAGAGAGAGAGAGAGAGAGAGAGAGAGAGAGAGAGAGAGAGAGAGAGAGAGAGAGAGAGAGAGAGAGAGAGAGAGATAGCTAGAGCTATCAGGAGAAATCACCAAGCCATTACGACTATATAGCACTGGGAAGGGGTCAGAATAAGGATTTGGGACGGGACGGATGAAGTAATGGTGCCCAACTACTTGGGCGGTCGGGGATTGAACGCCGACTTGCATGAAGCGAGACCGTCGCTCTACCATTCAACCCAAGTTGTCGGGCGCAGAGAGCTAAGGGAAAGCTAAAAAAAGCTAGAGAGAATGCAAGAGAAATAGGATAAAAAGAATACTTGAAGAAGTTAAACGCTAGAGAGAAAGCTAGAGAAATAAAGTTAAAGAAAGCTAAAAATCTAGAGAAAGAGAGAGAGAGATACACCTCTTCAGGCAAGGTAATGACAATAATGAACACAAGAACTAAGACTTCAGGACCACCACAGTAGGCCTACTGGCCCAAACAATGTAAGTTATATACAACCAAAAAATATATCAATGTTAATATCTATCATTTTCTAAAGTCATATTACATTGTTTGTCTAAACAATGGCATTTGACAATTTATTTCATTCGTCAACTTCCTTAAATGGGAAACAAATATTGCCTTTATTCCTTTGAAATCAAATTCGGTTTTATTTTTTATCACTATGACGAGTCCTGATCTTGTTTAACAAAACAAAATTCAACAATAGGTGCAATGATAACTTTATCCCATCCTCAGGCCGCCCTCAAGGACGCCTTCAATACTTTACAATTTAACATACTGTAAAGTATGTTAAATTATAAATCACCACAGACATCCTCCCCCCGGAGACCATCCCCACCACAGACACCCTCCCCCAGGAGATTATCCTCACGACATACACCCACTCTTAGAGTACAATCCTCACCACATAAACCCCTCCCCTTGGGTACAATTCTCACCACAGAAACCTAACCCTAGGTTACATTGCTCATCAAAGAAACCCTCCCCTAGGAAACAATGTTCTCCTTAGAAACCCTTCCCTAGCGTGCAAGCTTCATCACAAAAACCCTTCCCAAAGATACAATCCTCACCACAGAAATCCTCTCCTTGGGTACAATCCTCACCACAGAAACCTTTCCCTAGCGTATAATTCTCACCTTAGAAACTCCTTCTCTATGGTACAATCTTCACCACAGAAACCTCTCCCCTATGGTACAATCCTCTACAATCCAATCCAATCCTATGGTAGAAACCCTCCCCAATATACAATTATCATCACAGAAACCCTCACCAGGAGACCTTTCTCACCACAGAAACCCTTCCCCAGGATACAATCCTCGCCACAGGAAACCCTCACTCAGGATACAATCATCACCACGGATACCCTCCCTTAGGGTACAATCCTCACCTTAGAAACAGTCCCCTAGGGTGCAATCCTCTCCACAGAAACCCTCCACCAGGATACCTTCCTCAGCATAGAAACGTTCCCCTTGGGTGGAATTCTCACCACAGAAACCCTCCCAAAGACACTTTCCTCACTATAGACACCCTCCCATAGGTTTCAATCCGATCCACAGAAAACCTCCCCTTGGGTACAATGCTCCCCACAGGAACCCTCCCCAGGGTATAATTCTCATCACAGGAACCCTTCCCCAGGATACAATCCTCATCACAGAAACCCTCCCCAAGGGTACAATGCTCACCTTAGAAATCCTTCTCTGTGGTGCAAGCCTCACCACAGAAAACTTCCCCCTGGATACAATCCTCACCACAGAAACCATCTCCCAGGATAAATTATCACGACAGAAACTTTCCCCAGGAGACCATCTTCACGACAGACACCCTCCCCCCAGGATACAATCCTCACCATTGAAATTCTCCCGCAATGATTCAATCCTTACCACAGAAACAATCACCCAGGATGCAGTCCTCCCCACAGAAACTTTCCCCCCAGGATACAATCCTTACCTCAGAAACCCTTCCCTAGGGTAGCATACTCACATAAGAAACCCTCCCCTAGTGTGCAATCCTCTCCACAGAAACCCTTTCCCTATGGTACAATCCTCACCACAGAAATCCTCCCCTTGAGTACAATTCTAACCACAAACACCCCTCCTCTTGTGTACAATCCTCACCACAGAAACCGTCCCCCAGGATACATTCCTTACCACAGAAACTCACCCCTTGGGTAGAATCCTCACCACAGATACCGTCCCTTAGGGTATAATCCTCACCACAGTAACTCTCCCTTGGATAAAATCTTCACCATAGGCTCCCTCCCCCCTGGATACAATCCTCACCACAGAAAATCTCCCCACGATACAATCCTCAACACAGAAACCCTCCCCTAGGGAACAATCCTCAACACAGAAACCCTCCCCTAGGCAACAATCCTCATTACCGAAACCCTCCCCTAGGAGACCTTCCTTACCACAGAAACCCTCCCTCAGGATGCAACACTCACCACAGAAACCCTCCCCGAAGATACAATCCTCACCACAGAAACCCTTCCTCAGAATGCAATGCTCACCACAGAAACTCTCCCCCAGGATACAATCATGACCACAGAAACCCTCCTGCAGGTGACCTTTCTCACCACAGAAACCTTTCCCCTAGGGTACAATTCACTCCACAGAAACCCTCCCCCAGGATTCAATCCTCACCATATGAACCCTCCCGCAGGGTACAATCCTCACCATAGACACCCTTCCTCAGGATGCAATCTTCAGAGAAATCTTCCCGCAGGATACAATCCTCACCACAGAAATCCTTCCCTAGAATACAATTCTCACCAGAGAAACCCTCCCTAGGATACAATCATCACCACAGAAACCCTCCCTTAGGGTAAAATCCTAACCGTAGAAACCCTCCCCCTAGTGTACAATCCTCACCATAGAAAACCTCCACCTGGATACAATCCTCACCACAGAAACCCAATCCTAGTGTGCAATCCTCACCACAGGAATCCTCTTCTTGGGAAATCCTCTTCTGTGGTGAGGATTGTATCCTGTATCCCGCAGGATTCAATCCTCACCACACAAACTCTTCCCCAGCATTCAATTCTCACGACAGAAACCCTCCGCCAGGATGCAAACCCCATTACAGAAACCCTCCCCCCAGGAGACCTTCCTCACCTCAGAAACTCTCCCCCATGATACAATCCTCACCATAGAAAACCCTCCCCCAAGATACAATCCTCACCACAGAAACTCTCCCCAATGGTACAATCCTCACCACAGAAACCCTCCCCCAGGACACAATCTTCAATACCGAGACCCTCCCCCAGGAGACCTTCCTTACCACAGAAACTCATCTCCCAGGATACAATCCTCACCACGGAATTCCTCCCCCAGAATACAATCATAACCTCAGAAACCCGACCCCAGAATACAATCCTCACCACAGAAACACTCACCCAGGATGCAATCCTCACCACGGAATCCCTCCCCCAGAATACAATCATAACCTCAGAAACCCGACCCCAGAATACAATCCTCACCACAGAAACACACCCCTTTGAAACCTTCCTCACCACAAAAAACCCTCCACTAAGGTGCAATCCTCACCACAGAAACTGCTTTTCCTATGGTAAAATACTCACTTCAGAAATCTTCCTTTTAGGTACAGTCCTCACCACAGAAACCCTCCCATAATGAACAATCCTCATCACCGAAACCCTCCCCCTAGGGTACAATTCTCCTCACAGAAACCCTCCCCCAGAATACAACCCCCCCCCCACTAGAGAAACCCTCCCCAGGAAATCCTCCTCACCACAGAAACTCTTCCCTAGGGTACAATCCTCACCACAGAAAACAACCCCATGATGCAATTATTACTACCGATACCCTCCCCAGGAGACCTTCCTTTCCACAGAAACCCTTCCCCAGATTATAATCCTCATAATAGAAACCCCTCGCCCAGGATACAAACTCACTACAGAAACCCTGCCTTAGGATACAATCCTCGCCGCAGAAACCCTTCCACAGAATAGAATCCTCACCACAGAAACCCTCCCCTAGGGTACAATTGTACCCTAGTACCCCTAGAATTGTACCCCAAGGGTACAATTCTCATGGCAGAAACCCTCTCCTTGTATTCTGAGGGCACTGGGGCAATCCTCACAACAGAAACTTTCTTCCAGGATACAATCCTCACCACAGAAACCCCTCCCCTTGTGTGCAATCCTACGACAAAAACTCCTCCCCAGCACACAATCCTCACAACAGAACCCCTCCCTAGGAGACCTTCCTCACCACTGAAACCCTCCCCTAGAGTACAAGCCACACCACCGAAACCCATCCGCAGGATACAATCATCACCAGTGAAACCCTACCCCAGGGTGAAATCCTTACCACAGAAACCCTTTTCCATTATGCAATCCTCACCACAGAAACCCTCCCCCAGTGTCGGAAAATCCGACACCATTTAATAATATCATACAGGCAGATAATATTGCTGTGTTGTATAAACAAGTTAACCCATAGGAAATGTAACTTGTAGTGGAATTTCCGTCTATAGAAAACGAGATATCATTACCACATACTATTATAAATTCACCACCTATTATGGTGGGAATTATTCTTAAATACATTAGTCTTTGGACTTTACCATCATAAAAACATCTCATATAAATTAACTTAATTATCAGAATTAAAATAGAGTAAATGTGACCCTTCTATCACTTACTGTCATCTGGACAATATTGGCCAGTAGCGTCAGTGAGGGGGGAGTGGTCAGCCATTGTTATTGTTTAAGACCACAGAGTCGTGGAGCGAATTACGGCTCCTATAAATTCTCTTGGACGAAGTGTTATGGAAGATCAGAGTAGTGATCTGCCATCATCAACACGCTGTCATCAATCTCAAGGGAAGTGTCTTTCCGAAACCCGTTTATCTTTCATTTATGGCCATTAATGTCAGTAGATATTGGGTGAGCCGGTTAGATCACAAATGATCGACTCAAACAAGGTAATTAAGCCTAGGTCTTTATGGTTCCTTGTACAGTGTTTTCTCTGATATAGCTGTCATATATTAGGATTCTGGCTTTACAGCTAGCGCCCTTTTGACAGGTCAAGACGAGGAAGCAAGACTTTGTGCATCAGTTACTGGATGTTGGAAACTGCCTCAAAATAGGATAATTTGGTGTCTACATCCTAGTTATACCTGGTGGACTAATGCCTGCTGTACAAATAAGATAAGGAACCTCTTCAATGTTTAACAATATATGTAGTTTAATACTGTAGTTTGATTGGCTGCATATATATAAATTCAATATAAACCCCCCCTAATGTGTAGAGGATCGATTTGTGAGATTATTGCAGAAATACAGTCCACTTAACATCATACAAATTGCTATCGAAGTATATAAATTCTATATAAATTCATATAAATTAAATAAATATAAATCTCACAGGTCGGTTCCCACACCCAGAAGACCTTCCTCACCACAGAAACCCTCCCCTAGGGTAAATCTTCACCACAGGAATCCTCTCCTAGGATACAATCCTCACCACATAAACCCACCACCAGGATACAATCAACATCACAAAAACCCTCCCTCAGGAGACCTTCCTCACCACAGAAACCCTCCCCTTGGGTACAATCTTTTCCACAGAAACCCTTCCCCAGGAGACCTTCCTCACAACAGTAACCTCAACTTCCTCCACACCAGAATCAGTCAACGGGACATATGTGTGGAGAGACGACCAACTGTTGTACCTATTGATGCCGGGGCTGATGTTGTACCCACAAGCCAAAGAATTGTGCTCCTCCATCCCCGGACACCGTCTCCTCATCGTCAAGTCGGCGCAACAGGCCTCCGTCCTCCGCTACCTGTGGAGCTTGTACAGTAAGTTCCCTCTGCCTCCCTCACGTCACCTGGGGCTGTTCCCTCCAGTAGCGTAAACTGAGACGTAGTCAGTGTTCCACACCTGTGACAGGTGTGCCATGGCACACCTGCCACATTGGTAAACGCAAGGCCCACGTCTCCTTGGGGTGTGGGTGTGTGTGTGTGTCTCGAGGCGGGGTATGTGTCGCTGGGGTGGGAAGGGGGTAGAAAAGGGGTGGGGGAAGTAAGGGTAGAATGAGTAAGTATAGGAAAAGGCATGGCACACCTGTCAGAGGTAAAGGGCGGGGCACCGTCTCAGGGGGTTTTGGGAGGAGTGCCGGTAGTGTGTGTCTCGTGGCGGCGTGTGTGTCACTGGGGATGGAAGGGTGAAGAAAAAGGGGATGTGTAAGGGTAGAAGGAGAAAGTATAAGAACAGGTGTGCAGCAGCAGAGGGAGTGTAAGATGAAAATTTATGTGTTAGTAACGAAGAGTCAAGAACCATAAGTAGATTTAAAGTTAAATAATAATAGTATGTAGGATGGAGATGTGTATGTTGAGCGAGGAGAGCCCCCATCCCCCTCCTCCCCCCCCACACACACACATGAGAACACACCCCTAGGAGATCGGATATATTAAGGTGTACGGTTAGGGAAGGGTGTGTGAAGTGGGGGGTACGAGGGGAGGTGAAGGACTCACCCAGGGAGTCATCTGGCCGTCACCGGCAGTCGCCCCTCACACTCTCCTTCTCTCCTGATTAAACAATAAGGTCTGTGGTATGTATCAAAAGTTAAGATGTTCCCAGCATGCTTAGTTGACGGTCTGAGGGAGTTGTGTGTGTATTTCCAACGGGACACTTCTTACCGTCGCCGCCTACGCCATAACACACGACACGACGGGTAGAGGTGAGTCTCACAGCAGGTGTAAGCAGATTTCATTTCAAATTACGTCCAAATTTCGCCATAGTGAGCATACGAGCCAAAAGTGACATTATTTTTAAGAGGACGGGTTGCGCTCCAAGAGGGTCATTAGTTCGTGTCATACTCTCAGTCCTTGAGTATAGATGTTCACAATGTATCGCCTCTGCTGCTACTGAGAGGTGAGTGAGCAATCCTCAATATTTGTAAACAATGGCCCCTCACCCCTCCCCTTTCCTTCAGCCTACAGCCTCTATGGAGTTCCACACACCCGCCACATGGCACATACCACATAGCGTATGGCCCATACCACATGGCTAGGAGAACGGGTAATAGGGTGTCGTTGGAGGTCTGTGTTCGTCACTGCATCAGCTTCCATAGTTGTGTATTACCTCCTCCTCTTAGAGTTGACTGGCACCCCACACCATAACACACAAGAGCTAAGGTAACTCGCCCAATGACCTAGGAGGTACCATTAGTCCATGTCAAAATATGAGGTAAGAAGAGCGGTCTACCCTCTTTGATGTCTCGACTGGTAGTGTGGTACATGAGCGGGAGGGGGGAGTATTTGTCAACTATACCCTGGGGGGTTGAGCATGATTTTTGGCAACGAGTGGTGTTGTTTGTAGCCTGGAGTGTTGTTCATGATGTTTGGTAGCCTGGGGTGTTGTTCATGATGTTTGGTAGCCTGAGGCGTTGTTCGTGATGTTTGGTAGCCTAGGGCGTTGTTCATGATGTTTGGTACCCTGAGGCGTTGTTCATGATGTTTGGTAGCCTGGGGCGTTGTTCATGTTTGGTACCCTGAGGCGTTGTTCATGATGTTTGGTACCCTGAGGCGTTGTTCATGATGTTTGGTAGCCTGGGGCGTTGTTCATGATGTTTGGTACCCTGAGGCGTTGTTCATGATGTTTGGTAGCTTGGGGCAGAATAGAACCAGTGAAGAGCAGGGGTGCCATAGGCACAATCAGAGAACACTGTATAAACATCACAGGTCCACGGTTGTTCAACTCCCTCCCAGCAAGCATAAGAAATATTGCCGGAACAACCGTGGACATCTTCAAGAGGAAACTAGATTTATTCTTCCAAGGAGTGCCGGACCAACCGGGCTGTGGTGGGTATGTGGGCCTGCGGGCCGCTCCAAGCAACAGCCTAGAGGACCAAACTCTCACAAGTCAAGCCTGGCTTGGGGAGTAGAACTCCTAGAATCCCATCAACCAGGGGCGTTGTTCATGATGTTTGGTAGCTTGGGGCGTTGTTCATGGTGTTTGATTGGTTGATGTGTTGTTCATAATGATTGGTTGCCTGGAGTGTTGTTTGTAACATTTGCTTGCCTGGGGTTTTGATCAGGATGTTTGGTAGCCTGGGGCATTGTTAATGATTTTTGTAGCCTGGGGGGTTGTTCATAATGTTTGGTAGGCTGGGGTGTTGTTCATGATGTTTGGTAGGCTGGGATGTTGTTCATGATGTTTGGTAGCCTGGCGGTGTTCACGATGTTTGGTATTTTTGGGCGTTGTTCACGATGTTTGGTATTTTTGGCGTTGTTCATGATGTCTGGTTGTCTGGGGACATTGTTCACGATGTTTGTAGCCTGGGGCGTTGTTCATAATTTTTGGTAGTCTGGGGGTATTGTTCATAATGTTTGTAACCTGTGGGTGTTGTTCATAATGCTTGGTTGCCCGGGGTGTTTTTCATAATATTTTTTTTTAGCCTGGGGTGTTGTTCATAATATTGGTTGCCTGGGGTGTTGTTCATAATGTTTGCATTTGTTATACTCAAATTGTAGGTCCGTTGAGACATAACCAATCACAAGCAAGTAGGCCTCTGACGTCATGCCAGACAGTCACCAGCCGTGCTCCCAGCAGGCTCAGTTCTCTCTCACAGACCCAGAGTAGGTGGACCTCGGCTGGCCAGTTATACACCTTGTTGCCTTAATCAATAAAACTACTGAAGTGCCTACTGTGTCTAATATTCAACCCCACAAGGCAACGAATACTGGTAGCAGCAGTGGGATCCAGAATTATTTTTCTGGAAAAGAAAATTCAAGCACCCACATCGCCTCATGTTCCAGTCGCCACCACCGCCACCGCCGCCATCCTGCCACCCACGCATCAAATATTGTGCCAGACCGGGGTCCTGCCATCAACCACTACTCCAGGCCAACGTCTCAGAAGTAAGGGTCAATATTTTCCTGTGTGAACGCTAATTCATCAGTGAGGAGAAGGGAAGCTTCCCGCGCCAGCCATTTTTTAATCTTGCACCCACGTGGGAACCTACACCCACCACCACCACCCAAGCCCACATCAACAAGCCTTGTGTGCTGCCTGTTCCGTTCCAGCTATTGCAATCATCATCTACAGCTTCAACTGCTCTGCAGCTGTGTTGTGCGCTTTATTGAGAAACAATTGCCGAAAAAAAGACTACAATCGTCTGACTAGCGTCGCCAGCTCCCAGTCAAGACGCCGCAGCGCCACATTTGCCTCCTCTCACCACCGTGTCAGCCCCTGCTACATCATTTTGTGTGAACTTCGGCCTAGCAAATCGGGCTTCCTTCGCTATCATCGTCGTCGTCAGAATTTATCTTCGCGCTCCCAACATCAATTCCTAGTGTAGGTCTCCCGAGCTTCGCGCAACTGCCGCTAGGAGCGCTGCCATTGCACTAGATTGTAAACAAACGCTCGCATGTGCCTCTTCACATGCCTTGTCGCCGTTTTTGTGTTGGTCACTGTTATATTGCAAATCCTGCAGCCCCGAGTTAAGTAATTAAGAGCTAAGATATCGTGTGCTATGTTTTAAAGAGGTTTAATGTAAATATATCCAAAATATCTTATGAATTAACCATTCAGTGACTTGTTCAATATTGGAGCTGGTTCAGTACTCCACTCCCAAAGTTTCCCTGAGTGATTTCAACATTCATGCTTCTCACAGTAATTTCATTGTGCATTAATTGTGTTGATAGTGTTTTTAACAAATTCAAAGTCAAGAGAAGTAAGAAATCTTTGTTTTAGTAGCAGTTAAGGATTTGTACAATATAATTCTTTTTAATTCCTCCAGGCCTAAAATTGAAATTTATTCCTTCAACATTTCATATTATAATTTTTTTTACCATAGCAGTTATATACATATGTGTCCAGTTTATGTGCTACATCCATATTTCTTGCATTGCCACTTGTTGTGTTGAATCATTTTAATGAAATTTTGCAATTGCACTTTCCAGTTTTTTATTCTAAATTGATGTGCTTAGCCTGGTTTACTTAATTTACATGCTTCTAATTCCAGCCATTTTAATGAAAGATTGCTAATTTAATTCACAATTTTGCTTGTTCTTAATTATTTGTTGCCTAGCCCAATTAAATAATTTTATTTCTGCCATTTTCTTACTTTAGCCAAGTTAATATTTTTTGAGTGTTTATTTTTGTGTATACCATTTCTGATGCCTGGTGCACTTAATTATAATCTGCGTTCAAACATTCCTTTCACGGCTGTGACAATGCCTACCACTGTTGAAACCCCTTCACACTCAACGGGAGCAGTTACTCGTCCCAATGTCCAGAGATCAGCTCAGGAAATTGCTATTCCTCTTTTTGCTGGTGAATCCCGCTTATTAGAGTCATGGTTTAGTAAGTTTGAAGCGAAAACAGTTGCACGTTTTTCCAAGCCTACTGATGACGAATATTTGGCAATTGCACAGTCAGCTGTGGACACAATCAAAGGTGATGCACGTTTTGTTGTTGATGAGAAAGCCATTGTTAGCCTCCAGTCTTGGCCTGAATTTAAGGATTTCTTTCGCCGTCGCTTTGTTAACAAAGGAGACCTCGACCCGTATAGGTTAGTCAAGAAAATTGCCAATGCCACCATGCAGCCTGGTGAATCGTTTACTGCATTTAATAGCCGTCTCGATCAGTATCTGTATGCCTTAGTGTCTGCTATGAATAGTTCGTCTTGGTTAGATAAAGACAATAATCTGTCCCCTGAGGCTATGGCCAAGATCATAGCATTTGGGACTTTAATGCATTTTGCCCCAGAGCATACTAAACCGATCATCGAGCAACAAAATTTTGGAGTTAAACATGCAATTGGTGAAGTGTTTGAGGCTATTAACAATGCCGC